GGACCATTTCTGGATGGGCTGGATCCAAGCCTCACGCGAGGCCGCGGGGCCGAGGATGAGGCCGATATACTCCACCATCGCAACGATATTAAATTATACATATAACGGCGCGCCGGGTCCGGGGGCCCGGGGCCGGGACCTCGACCGCAAATGTGCACCCCGGGGGGCCCGGAGGCTCGTCGGGGCTTGCCGGAGGCCTCCCCGGTCAGACAAGACGGCCCCAGAAACGCCCAAGACGGTCGAAGAAACTTCCAAGAGGCCTCCAAGAGGGCTCCGAGATGCTGAAGATGGCCTCCAGACGTCCAAGGACGCCCCCCAAGACGCCCCAAGAAGCCTCCAACATGCGTCCCAAGAGGGCCCCTAGACGCAAAAATTGGCCCATTCCCTTCGTAAAACGTACATTTTTCACAAAGTTGCCTTTTGGGCTTTCCGACATTACAGGACGGCCCAAGAGGCGCCCAAGACCGCCCCAAGACGGGCCAAGAAGCTCCCAAGAGTGCCCCAGGACAGCCCAAGAGGGCCCCAAAACGGCCCAAGAGGCGCCCAAGATGGCCCAAGAGGGCCCCAAGACGGGCCCAAGAGGGGGCCCAGAGGGGGACCACGAACCGCAAGCTCGAGCCTTCCGCCCCAAGAGGCCGCCAGGAGGCCCCCAGGAGGCCCCTCAAGAGGCCCCAGGAGACCCCAGACGTCCAAGGACGCCCCCAAGAGGCCAAGAAGCCTCCAACATGCGTCCCAAGAGGGCCCTAGACGCAAACATTGACATTCCCTTCGTAAAACGTACATTTTCAACTAAGTCGCCGTTTGGGCTTTCCGACGTTACAGGACGGCCCCAAGTGGCGCCAAGACCCAAGACGGCCCAGAAGCGCCCAAGACGGCCCAAGAAACTTCCAGAGGACCTCCCGCACGAGGGCTCCGAGATTGTGAGATGGCCTGCCAGGACGTCCAAGGACGCCCCCAAGAGGCCCCAAGAAGCCTCCAAAACAAATGCGTCCCAAGAACGGCCCCATAATAAGCAAACATGGCCCATTTCCTTTAGGAGAGCGAAAATGAAAAACGCGGTAAGAGCCATGTGATGTTCTATACATATCCACCAAAGTGGTTATTTTTGGGCTAAGGCTCGAGCTTTACGGTTGTGGTCCCCTCCTGTGCCCCCGGACGGGCCCGTCTTCAGGGGCGCCTCTTGGGCCATATTGGGGCGCACACTATTGGGCCCCCGGGTATTGGGGCCCTCTTGGGCTGTCCTGGGGCCTTCTTGGAAGCTTGCTCCGGGACGTATCTGGGGCCCCCCCCCCCCCGGTCTTGGGCGCCTCTTGGGCCGTCCTGTAGCGTCGGAAAACCAAAAAGACAACTTTGTTGAAAATGTACGTTTTACGAAGGGAATGGGCCAATTCTTGCGTCTAGGGGCCCTCTTGGGACGCATGTTGGAGGCTTCTTGGGGCCTCTTGGGGGCGTCCTTGGACGTCTGGGGTCTCCTGGGGCCTCTTGAGGGGCCTCCTGGGGGCCTCCTGGCGGCCTCTTGGGCGGAAGGCTCGAGCTTGCGGTTCGTGGTCCCCCTCTGGGCCCCCTCTTGGGCCCGTCTTGGGGCCCTCTTGGGCCATCTTGGGCGCCTCTTGGGCCGTCTTGGGGCCCTCTTGGGCTGTCCTGGGGCCCTCTTGGAAGCTTCTTGGGCCGTCTTGGGGCGGTCTTGGGCGCATCTTGGGCCGTCCTGTAACGTCGGAAAGCCCAAAAGGCGACTTTGTTAAAAATGTACGTTTTACGAAGGGAATGGGCCAATTCTTGCGTCTAGGGGCCCTCTTGGGACGCATGTTGGAGGCTTCTAGGGGCCTCTTGGGGGCGTCCTTGGACGTCTGGGGTCTCCCGGGGCCTCTTGAGGGGCCTCCTGGGGGCCTCCTGGCGGCCTCTTGGGGCGGAAGGCTCGAGCTTGCGGTTCGTGGTCCCCCTCTGGGCCCCCTCTTGGGCCCGTCTTGGGGCCCTCTTGGGCCATCTTGGGCGCATCTTGGGCCGTCTTGGGGCCCTCTTGGGCTGTCCTGGGGCCCTCTTGGAAGCTTCTTGGGCCGTCTTGGGGCGGTCTTGGGCGCCTCTTGGGCCGTCCTGCAACGTCGGAAAGCCCAAAAGACAACTTTGTTGAAAATGTACGTTTTACGAAGGGAATGGGCCAATTCTTGCGTCTAGGGGCCCTCTTGGGACGCATGTTGGAGGCTTCTTGGGGCCTCTTGGGGGCCTCCTTGGACGTCTGGAGGCCATCTTCAGCATCTCGGAGCCCTCTGGAGGCCTCTTGGAAGTTTCTTGGGCCGTCTTGGGCGCTTCTTGGGCCGTCTTGTCTGACTGGGGAGGCCTCCGGCAAGCCCCGACGAGCCTCCGGGCCCCCCGGGGTGCACATTTGCGGTCGAGGTCCCGGCCCCGGGCCCCCGGACCCGGTGCGCCGATATATGTATAATCAGCCCACTCAGGGATGTTATTACAAAGCCAGGATCTATACAGCTGGGCGCGGAATTCGTCGAAAGGTCCTGAAAGCGGCACTATATAGCATTTACTACTCTTGAGATTCAGATGAGCGAGTTCGCGACTGTGATCAAACACCTGCTTTCGCTGCTTCAGCTGCTGGATCTCGGCTACAACTGCCCCCACGTCGTCTGCGCAAGCTTTTGCTGCCGAAATCGGTCGCCTCCTTCTCTCATGTGACTCATCTTGATTGAGCAGCTCTCGGAATTCTGCCATGAAGGGATGACTGCATATAGCATAGATGGCCCCCGATGCTGGGCAACCTTGCAAGATTCCACTGAGGACCTCGAAAAGGAAAAGAGTGGTCTGCTGATGCACTCCGGAGCACAGCACGTTCTGGTATATGTATTTCATGAACACGAGCATCGGCGGCGGCAATCGAATGTACTCCAGTACTCGGAAGATCTATACATGTGCTACCGACGGGAAGGCCTGACCGAAATCAAAGGTACATAATGCTGGCAGGGATAAGGCTGCGGACGGTTGCATGCTCACCATTCGTGCTCGTGCATCTAAGTCTATGATGTTCACCCCGAAGTTGCGACCCTGGACGAACCTCCTCTGCTCGCAGTCAATGAACTCCCCGAGACGACGAGCGAGATGCCGAACGACGACGCCCGTCAGGATCTTGCTGCTTGTTTGTTTGAGTCCTAAAGGTCGTGTTTCCCCTGCTCCACGAACCACCTCCTCCTCATCTCCTTCTTTGGACCCCTTGGCTAAAAACGCCCCGCGTATAAAATTGAATTCAGGAAGTGAGCTCCCTCCACCCAAGATCCACCACAGAGCACGATCCAAGACCAAGACTCCCATCGGATAGAAACCTCCAAGCTCGATAAGAGAGCCCATCGGGCCCAGGAGCGCTATCGTGCACACGTTCCAGCTGCCGAGCGATGTTCGCTTGAGTGGGGGGCGGGAGATCCTGCAAGTTTACCTTCGGGCCGTGCTTCTCGAGATACTGATCTACGGCATTGAGGTCAGACTTTTTCCTCTCGCCGAAGACTGCGCCCCAGTGCTGCCCGAGCAGCTGCAGGACTTCGACAGGCTCGCGCGCGACGGCCCCACCGTCCACACAGATGCCTTCGAGCAACATCCGCCGCCCAAACGGCGCCCACAGTCGGCCGCGGATCACCTGACCTTTGAGACGACGACGAAGTTTGGCTCTTGTGCTTTCACTTTCCGTGCTTTGAATGTTGTTTCTTGTCTTGGCTTGCTCATGTTGGTCCATTGCTCGATGAATCTGGTCAGCGATCTCGGCGAATTCGCTTGCATTCGTGAGCGTGACGGTCCGCTCCAGTACGTCGATGCTGAGGAACCGCCTGCCTAAACTACTGCTCGCTCTGATCGTCTCTCCGAATCTGAGGTCTTGTTTCCAAACAGCTCTGGCAATAGATTTCACAGTAATGAACCTCGAGAAGAGACTATCTGGCGAGGATCTCAGCATAGTGTTCCTGGCTATCTTCGCTGCCTCCTGCATCATTCTAGTGACGAAATCGAGGGCGAGGGGCGGGGCGAGCGAGCCGACGTCGCAAATCTCTGAAATCTTCTAGAGCACCTCGGAGTATTTCGGGTGAAGGAAAACCTCAGAGGGGATACTGGAATACCTCCGATCTGAACTCGCAGGACGGCCGTAAGACAGCGACACTTGCACGGGAGCGCGGCCACTAACTCCCCGTCTGAAGAGAGCCTCGGGAAGGTCAAGCACCTCGCCCGACACGCAGAGCTGGTTCAAGATCCAGCCCGTGAAACTCACAAACTGCCTATCTATCGAGGTGAGTAGCCGATGCTGCGCGTTGTAGTGAGCCGGGTCTGAAACCTGGAGTTCGGTCATCTTTCCAATGGCTTTCATGAAAATCGGGTCCTGGCCACGCCTGTATTCCTTCACAAAGTTCAGCTTCGGGACCTGGGGTCGATTTTGTCCTGGAGTTCTCTGCGCATCCACTACATCCTCTTGACAGGATAGCTGGTCGGCGAAGTTAAAGTCGCCAGCGACAACGACGAGCGTGGTTCCTGGCGAAACCGTGGCTTGTGAAAGATCATCTAGGATACTGTCTGTAATATGTTGTCTAGCTTCTCGTGTTAGCTTGAAGTTGTGAATGTTGTAATGGCTAATCCAGACGTCCCTGCTGAGAACAATCCTGAGATTGAGTGCCCTGCCAGGAAACAAAACTCTGGGCTCAACCACTGGAGCCTTCGGGCCAAGGAACGCGAAGTTCGGGAATAACGTCACCACTCCTCCAGCATGAGAAGACGGGCAACAACTCGGTGCTGCCAGCACCTCCTTATGGTAGTGATATAAGACCTCTTGGATCTCCATCTCTGACCCGTGACTCTCATGCACAGCCAGGATTGACCCAGGGACCAGAAGCCTCCTTAGGGTACGAAGTTTCTTATCTCGCATGTTGGGGTCAAAGTGAAATAGGGATCTTGAGTTCCAGGTCGTCAGAGATAGCTTCCAATTCTTCATCTGTCGGCCCTTCCAGGCCGAGAAAAGACGCCGGCTAAAGACACCACTCAGTTGCCACTGTCTCGTTGGCGAAGACGCGGTCGAGCGTGAGGCGCAAATTGTTGATGTCCACCCCAAGCGCCTGCAGGTTCGCGGCGGCGTAGTGCACGACTGGTGGGTCATCTCCTGGGCGAGCCTCCACTTTGAGTATCGGCTTCCACATATGGCTGAGTTCTCATTTGTTTTTGTCTCCGAAGATCTTGATGTTGGGATAGAGCTGTGTGAACGTGAGCCTGGCTTTTTTGAATGCCAATTCCCTGCGCACCATGCAGCTGTTCTTGTCACCCGAGATGAAGAGCTCGGAGTGTTGTCCGTCCACGTCGAGAGCTGCAAACCTTTCGCACTGCCCATCTGTCCGCTTGAGGCTCGACATACATTGTGCCACCTTGCGTTCAGCGTAGCTGCGGCTGCCTCCAATTCTGACCGAGAACTTCTTACTGGCGGGGTCCCCCTCGATAACAAAGTCAGATTCCGCGAGATTGTTCCGCTCGAGCCAGGGCTTGAGCGCGTTGAGCATATTCTGCTTCGGAATGACGTTGCGTGATCGGATGGCCAAAATGGACGGGTCGATCTCGCGGTTGAACGACTGGTCGATCGGTTTCGGTGTGGGTCTCTCTGATTGAATATCACCGAGGAGGGTTTGGAGCCTTGAGATTTGCATCTTGAGGCTGTTGATCTCTGGTGTGTGCTGGTTGACCGTCCCTTCGACTGTGGCAATCCGCACCTCCACCTGCTTTTGAATCGCCTCGAAGGGCGAGGTGACCTGGTTGGACAAGTTGGCGAGTCCATTGTTGATCGTGGCGACTTGAGCTTGCAGGCTTCGGACTGCGGTGTCCATCGCTCTCTTGGTTTCCCCCATGTGTTCTCGCAATGCATCAATATCTCCGCCAGTACGAGCAGCCACACGCCGACCAGAAGAAACCATCTCCTGCGACGGGAAGGTCGGAGCTGCGTCCAACTGCGATGCCAAGTCCTCATGCTTCCCGCCCATTGCAAAATGCTTGAGCTGAGAATATTGTTTCGGATGCCTCAAAGTCAAAGACCGAGGTCGGCCTGGGCAGGCACCTACTCGACCTCTTCGGGCCCCTCCTGGCGGGGCGTCTTGAGGCGGGGGGTACCAAGTTCCCAAACGGCGACGACTTGAGCCAAAATGGCTACGGACTCCTCCTCCTCCTCCTCCTCCTCCTCCTCCTCCTCCTCCTCCTCCTCGTCCTCCCCCATTCCTTTTCCTTATAGATAACTTTTCCCTGTCACACCCCGAAGCCAGTTTTACAGCGGGTCGCTTGAGACTTCCTCACCACTTATGACCCTGAAACTGAAACATTGGCAACAGTTTCACAGATCGAGGGCGGTTGGTTGTCAAAATGTGGCTTTCGCCTCAGCGCCGCGCATACTCGTCTTAAACATCCACAAAAGCTTCACGGATGAAGGGCAGGTCTTTTTCAAAATGTGGCCCTCGTCTTAGCGCCGAGCACATTCGTGCTAACATGTGACGAAGCCTCACGGATGGCGGGCGGATCGTTTTCAAATTGTGGCTCCCGCATCCACGCCAGAGCAAAATTTGCACGAGCTTAACGGATTGAGGGCGAGCTGTTTTCAGAATGTGGCTCTCGCAGTGGCGCCGCGCACACTCTTGACAGAGCCTCACGGACTGAACGCGGCTCCTCTCCAGAGTGTGGCTCTCGCCCGAGCGCCGCGCACGCTTGTCTTAACAAGTTGCAAAAGTTTCACGGAATCCCATGGTCAACGTACCAGAAATGGCGCTGACTCGCGAAATTGAAGTTTCAGGAATGGCGTTCTGGCACGATTCGGAATCGTCAAGACGCATCAGTCAGTTTGATCCGTGGGGTTGGAATCCCGAATTCCATGTTTGGGCATGCTTCAGGGTCTTCGAACGGTTGTCTTCAAACGATGCAGTTCCCTCACTGGAAATGAACCGTTGTATGAGCCCTACGCAGAAGGAGCTTGGAGGGAGGGATTATTCCAACATTGTTGATGACTCTTGGGTTTACACTGGCCCTCCTCCTCCTCCTCCTCCTCCTCCACTCCTCCTCCTCCTCCTCCTCCTCCTCCTCCTCCTCCTCGTCCTCCTCCTCCTCCTCGTCCTCCTCCTCTTCCTCCTCCTCCTCCTCGTCCTCCTCGTCCCCTCCTCCTCCTCCTCCTCTCCTCCTCATTCTCCTCCTCCTCCTCCTACTCCTCCTCCTCCTCCCCCTCCCGTCCTCTTCCTCTCCTCCTCCTCCCTCCTCCTCCTCCTTCTCCTCCCCTTCCCCCTCCTCTTCTTTTTCCTCCTCCTCGTCCTTTTCCTGCATGAGTGCTATCAGGCAGTTCGACAATGCAGTAGACAGGCAGATGAAAGCATCCAATGTTGTTGGTTTTGCCCACAAGTTTGCTCACGCCCTGCCAGGACGTAAACATGTTAATGTTTTTCATGTCAAGGCCCACCGCAGCATGCAGGCCCACCGCAGCGCCTGGCGTTGGCCAACAGTCGCGCTGATCGAGAGGCGAAGAATGCTGCTTGCCTCCACCCTGCTCCGAGCCCTGCCCTCCTCAGAGATCTTGAGTTGGCAGAGGAGCGAGCATTCAATTTCGCCAAGGTCGCTGCCGCGGTGTTGTCCCTCTTTGAAGATTAGGAGACCCAGCGCTGGCGGCGACCACTGTCTTTCGGGAAGAGAGCGAGGCGGGCGGTGAGGACTGGGTGGCACGACTGGGTTTGGGGTGAGCTGGGATGGCAATGCGTGCAATGTTTTTGTGTTGGCCCCCAGGTAGGAAACCTGCCGATGACAGGCTGCCAGGGGACGCCAAAATTTCTAGAGCAGTTCACCCTCCAGGATTTTGGGCATAGGCTGGTGGCAGTGTCGGGTTCCAGGCTGGCGTCGGCGCGAGCCACATCTGACCTCCAGCAGGCCCAGCTCCTGTGCATTCGTTGTGGAGCTTGGGGCCAAGAGAAGGCCATCAAGCTCAAGAGAGAGTGCAGGCCCCCCACTCGTACAGGGGGTGAAGTTCTTTCTAGGTTCAGGCGGGGTTTCGCGCCAAATCCCAGAGTCAGAGCTTTGCTGGAGGCAGCGATCCCCGCAAGCAACTTTCAGGTGAGTGTTGCCTCGAGGCGCCAGGTCCAGACTACACAGGTGGTCAGCGACCTCGGCGCCAAGGCCGAGTACGGCTACGAAGTGAGGATGAAGGCGCTGTACGACAGAGCACGGCACCGTGAGGAACTAGGCTCGCGGCCGCCTGCTGCGGCCGAGGCTCCTCCGCTCCGTGTCGAGGAAGAGGCGGCTGAGGAGGGTGAGGATCCTCTGGCCACTGTGCCTCCCTCGTAGCTCGTTTTGTTTTCGGCCAGTGGCCATTCGACCTCGACTCGTTTCGTCAGGCGGCGTCCTGTCCTATCCTATCCTCCGCTTCCTCCTCCTTTTCCTCCTCCACCTCCTCCTCCTTCTCCCCGTCCTCCTCCATTTCCTCTCCTCCTCCTTCCCCTTGATGTAGGAAGGCGCTGATAATCATACCATCAGCGCCTTCTACATCAGGGGGAACCGGCCATCGTACCTTTTGTCATGGAATGGGCGTCCTCAGGTCCTGCCGTTATCCTTCTGATCTTCAGTCCTTACGCCTGACGAGTTTTTACGGGGTTCCGAACCCTTCGTGCCAAATCTCTTGGGCCGAGCTGCCAATGCGAGCAGTAGTGAGACGAGTGCCCCCAGAATAGCCCCAGCCTACGCGAGCGGACCAGACGACGGCGGCAACAACGACAGCGATGGCGACGACGACGACCGCCCTATGGAGGGGCCAGAACGCCTGGGGCGGGGAGGACCAGCTAATGGTTCAGCCCCCACATTATCCGATCCATTATTCTCGTTTCGATTATTTTATTTCGCCTCCTCCTCTCAACCGCCCTCACCCGTGCGCCCTTCATCCCCATCGTCCTGCCCTTCTTCCCCCTCCTTCCTGACACCCTTCCCCTCCTCATCCCCCTTTCCTCCTGATCGTCCTCTTCCCCCTGTTCCACCTCTTCGTCTCCCTCGCGCTCCTCCTCACCTGATAGTATCATCCCTCTCCTCCTCCTCCTCCTCCTCCTCCTCCTCCTCCTCCTCCTCCTCCTCCTCCTCCTCCTCCTTCTCAGCATAGCGCCCTTCTCTGCTGTAAGGTTTGCTTCGCGTTTGGCGTTTGAGGCGCCTCAGACGCTGGAGTTTACTCGACGTATTGCTTGGAGCACTTTGAGGGCATGGAAGGAATGGGTGCGCCACTGGCCGACGCGCGCGAACAGGGCAAACCTCATCCACCTCAGGTGTAGCAATCAAGCCCCCGACGCTCTCGCAAGCCAAGAAATAATCGATCGTGGGATCCCTCCTATCAGGCGGTCTGCAAATCGTTGCATTCGACACGAGGAAAAATCCTGTTACCCTTTCAATCCAAGCAGGGTCCTCAGCGGCCAGCGCGGCCCTTGTGATATTGAAGTCGCCGCCCACTGTCCAGTCAGATCCAGTAATGTTGAGCTTGGTGGGAAGCCCTTCTGGGACCCTGAGCAATCTCCAGCTTTCAGCATTCATGCCAGCCGCATTTACCATATAAACTGCGATGTAAACAACGCCGCCATTTGGCCCCCAGAATATGCGAGCCGCCATAATACGCCCAGTTTCCTAGATCCAACTCTTATGCAGGGGCGGCCTCGCGATTACGATGCTGGTCTTGCACAGGATCGCCAGACCTCCACTGCCTCCCGTCGGCGGGCACCCAGGTCCGCGATGACCATAATCATTCGCTCGTGTATGAAGAACAGGAATGCGGTCCCCATCCGCATGGAGCTCTTGGAGCCAGACGACCGAGGGAATAGGGTCCAACGCGCATGCCTCTAAAGACTTCTGCATTCTCGGCTGTGATGTGAGATGAGCAGCGACTGTCCGACCTTTCACAGGTATCACCTTCACATGTCGCAGTCGATGTGACCCTGCCTGCGATTGCCATCGTTATCTGCAGCCTCGCAGCATTCCTCCCGAGGCCTGTGGCCATCAAAATCCAGAGATCGACCTTGGAGCAGCTCGCGAAACAATCGCTTCAGCTCCGCCAAAGCTCCCCAATGGTAACCCAGATCGCTTTGCGAGCGCTGTCCATCAAGCTCCCAATAGATCTAGAAAAAGCCCTGCGCCTCGGCTGCGCCTTGTGATGCACGTACTCGCATAAACATACGATCGCCTCTCCAATCTCCCATTCTCTGCCAGCACGTCTACTAAACAAGCCCAGAAGCTCACGTTGCCTGTTGCGAGGTAACTCAAGTAGCTCCCGAAGATACGGCTCGCGACAAATAGCCCAGCCACGTAACGGGTTGCCCTCCAAGCCGCCCTCAACGCCGTGAACCCATATCGCCGCCCAGTTTGTGAGGTCCTCGTACAGATCGGGGCACTCACTCCTCGTCTGAGATTCTGGCTGCATAATGCCCATCGCCCCTGGAGCTCGTTGCCCCAGATGAGCCCATCAACCATCTCCGAATATGGAGGCCTTGTTGCTCCAGCCGTGGTGCCCGAAGTCAACAACCACCCTAATGCAGAACTGCCGCCAGTCGCTGCACTTGTCCTCGCCCCTGGGGAATGCACGACCCAGGCCATGCGAGGAGTACCATACTCTGAGCCAGAACTGCCACCAGTCGCTGCACTTGTCCTCGCCCCCGGGGAACGCACGCCCCAGGCCACGCGAGGAGTACCGTACTCTGAGCAAGTACCGGGAAGGAACTCATCAATCCATTCAGGCTTCACTGATAATACAGGCACAGCCGATATAACGGCACCAGAGCTATTCCACAACTTCCATTGCCCAATCCTGCGAATGGTGTCGCGCGCGTTCCACTGATCC